GGAGGACATCAAACCAGTAACGGGAGGGTAGCCATAAGGAGTGCGAACAGCCCAGCGCGCGGTGGGCAGGAGGGGTGCACCGAGTCTCGTCTGGTAGTCTAGACACTACTGGCAGAGAAGTCCGTACGATGCAGAGACATGTGACGAGAAAACGCATCGAGGAAGGTGGCTCTCTTGTGGTGAGTCGACGAGGGGGACTCTAATTGGAGTTGACCCTTTGGACCCCATGGGTATCTCTCCTTGATCTCATGAATATATTAATAATGATGCATTAAAATGGGAAAATGTTCGGCATGGTAGAATTCAACCCATGAAATATGTGGCGAGTTACCATTTAAATTCTTACATATGGAGGCTCTAGACACACTTTGTTGAATTGGTTGAGTCTTGATTCCGTTCCGTCTCAGGACGAGACGATAGGACCGGATCCGTTCTATGACTTGGAGCAGCACGCTCTTCTGGGCGTGGCCAACATATCTCTGGAGTGTCTGATACATGATATAGAGTTTGTGTACTGATGCACCTGTGGTGGCTCCTACTGGCAAGGTGGAGGGAGGGAGGGAGGGAGGGAGGGAGGGAGGGAGGGAGGGAGGTAGGGAGGGAGGGAGAGGCGAAATACTGTATATGTGGGTGCCATAAATATATACAATCTTGTTGGTGTGCCTGCTGTGGCTGCCTGCTGTGGCTGCCTGCTGTGGCTGCCTATTTCTAACTTTACGTGTGCAAATCTCTTTCTTTTGTCTAGATTTGTGGGAAATTAAAATTATCTGTGAAAAGAGTTCCGAGTAAGTTTGCATCTCTTCACTTCACTTCTACGTACATTAAGTGGTATTCTGCAGAATTATACACAATAGGGGTTAAATTTAGAACCAACAACAAGAGTGCAAATTTCCTAAGAATCGTTCCTTCACCCCACCATTTCATCCTCCTCCTGTTCTTCCCCAGCCCTACTGGACAGAGAAATGGACGGAGAGGAAGTGGACGCCTACTCATCCTGGTCCATGATGCAATCTCAACCCAGCATGATGGACGATTTAATGGACATTCGACACGGACAACCACTCTCATGTCAGGTATACAACACACTGTGCACTAAACACCATTTTCACCAAACTGTTAAAGGAGATATGATTTGTAAGTCGGTCAGTTTGCAGGCAAAGTTTCCGTGGATTATACAGTTTCAACGTAAATTTGCAAACTTCTCGACTCTGTGCGTAGCACCGTTTTTTGAATTTGCATTTTGTATGTTCCTTCAAATTTTCCAACTCTCCGAGGATCTAAACTCTCTCTCTCCTCTCTCTCTCTCTCTCTCTCTCTCTCTCTCTCCTCTCATCCTCTCTCTCTATCTCTCACCTATTTCACCAGGTGACGGTCATAGAAAGCAGTGGTCTACCGAAGGAATACTGCCACTATGTCTTCTGTCAATACCAGTTCTGGGGCCAGGAGGAGCCGATGATCATTCCTCCGCTACAAGGCAGCATCAACAGCGATCAGAAGATAGTGGATAAAGTCCAGTTCTCTCACTCTCAGGTTAGCAGATACTTTCCCAACCTCTCCTCTCTTTCTCTCTTTCTCTCTTTCTCTCTCGTAACTTTTACTGCATCAATCAAATCGTAGTGTGCTACCCTCAGTGTCCATTATAATTTATTTGTAAAGTCCTGCCCGCCTTATTATTTCCACACTTTCTCTCCCTAATCCATTCTCATGTGCTCGTCTCAAGTTTTCATTTGACTGACTGTTTTATGTCTAGTAAAATTATTCCTTGCTTCATTTTGGTCACATCCCTCTTCTCTCTCCCTCCTCTTCCGCCTGCTCCCTTCACCTTCCCTCTCCCCCTCCCTCCCAGACATTCACTGTGGAGATAACAGAGGACTTCCTCTCACACGTGGAGGAGGGGGTGCTGGGGGTCGAGGTTTGGGGCCATCGCAGGAGTGGCTTCATGGACCTCCCTATGCCCCCCGGGGACCCGGAAAATGAGGGGAAACGACAAAAATCCTTCCCCGAAAAGTTAGTGTCGACGACATCATGTAAATATAGTGCTTGTTACTAAATTTAACCTGGCTCCGCCCACCAGATGGAGCGAGTTGACTCAGCGACTGGAGCTGTGGGTGGAGATCATGGAACTCAATGATCAGGTGAGGGTCATGTGACCGGCATGTGAGATCATGTGACTGTCATGTGACCTGCTGTAGGGGGAGTATATTCCTGTGGAACAGCAGAGCAAGGCTGACGTCATGACTGGAGGTGTATTCATGATCAGACAAGTCAGTGTATTAAAATTTCTGCTAAATTTTAGTCGTACAAAAACATTTTCCTATTTACTATCTGGATACCCATGCTGTAACAAAGTGTTGCTTGCCCTAAACAGTTCAAAATTTAATGCTTGTCCAAAAAAATAAGTTACCCTTTTAAATTTTTACCCTGTTTAGTCGGGGCAGATCGATATATAAATATTTCCCCCTGCCCCATAGGGCCAGTCCCGGAGGATCAATGTGGCGGTTCAGCCGGTGGTTGGAGGACCTGGAGCTGACAGCAACCTCATGAGGGCTCAGTCCATATCCTCCATCGCCATCGGCTCCTGCTACCTCAGGAACAGATATGATGAGCACTGGACTCCTACCAGGAGCAGGACCTGGAGAGGTTCGCCTGATCTCTCTCTCTCTCTCTCCCTCCCTCCCTCCCTACCTTTCTCCCCCAAGCTTCAAGATCTCTTTCCACCTCTCTGCCTGAAACTGTAGTTTGTTAAAATTTTACCTCCCTTACTCAAAATTTTGTTCAAATTTTCTGCACCCTCAATTTGTTACCTCTCTTGCTGCGTCCCACCAACCCATGTCTGCTATCGTATTATCAATGGCTCTAGCCAAGACCTTTGGTAGTGTTAGCAACTGTGATCCTCCTCTCCCTCTCCCTCCTGCCCAGGATGAGGACCAGATGGAACGAGGCGGTTATGAACCGACGCGACTACCTGGACACAGAGGTCCGTAAACTGATGGAGAAGAAGGAGCCGTCGGTCACGGACCTTGAGAAACAGAACGAGCTCCTTGACCAGTGGGCTATGCTGCAGTGGCAGAGACAGGCCGTCCTCCAGCCTAAACCAGGGAGTGGCATCCCAGGAGCTCCGACCAACTGGTATTTACGTGTCGCACGCGCTCACGTGTGACAACGTTTATTGTTGTGGTAACTCTACTACGTGTCCGTGGTGCCGTTTCCCGCGCAACCAGCGCACGCCGGAAAACGAGTGTGCATCAATTGGAGTACGTACTAGGCATATCGCCAGTTGAAATCTACGCGTGTTTTAAGCCCTCGCATAGATTTCACAGAGTCGATGATATCTAACTATAAGGATTTTAGCTAAGAATTTGTAATGTAAAGCACAATGTAAAGCAGCAGCAAGAGGGTTAATTAATTAATGTTTCACTCCAATGTCCAGGAACCTGTCTCAGGGCATGGAGATGCGTGTCCCCGTTCTGTTCCTGGACATGTCGGTACTAGAAGACGATGAGTCAGCGTTGCCGTGCCCACCCACCACCTTGTTCGGGGAGAAGCCGGAGAGCATGATCGATATCCCCATCATCAAGAAAGAAGAAAATGACGTGAGAATATTTGGACTTCTTATCTCCTTTCCTCTTGTGCATAAATTCTTAAATTAGGGGATACACTCAATTACTTTTGATGACTATTAGTTGTAGTGATAACCTTTATTGCCTGAATGTATTTGCAAACCTAAAATAGAAATTGAACTTTAATGCCAAATGTGTTTGTTGTTGTTTACAAACTTGTATATGCTCAAAAATGTTGACAAACCCGGCCACCTCGTCTCTCCCTCCAGCCGCGAGCGCCCCGAGCGACGGCCTCCTGGGACTCCACTGTACACGATGCCCTCAGCCTCAACCGCGTCACCGGGTCCAACGACAGGGTCTACGCCACCCTCAGAGTGAAAGTGAAAGCTGTCTCAGCCGCCCAACGTCGCGATCACCCTCAACAAACGTGTCTGTCTCTGCGTCTACAAGAAGATTGGTTTCGGGGCCTCGCTTCTCAGGGCTTTCAAGACGAGGGTGAGTTTTGGGTTTAACCCCTTTCTAACAGGTTAAAATTAACACTGTCTTTTTAACACCTTTGATATACTGTATGTAGCTGTATTGGTATAGTGCTCTGTGGAAATGCATTTCTAAACCATGTATATATAATTATAGTAATGTTTTGTGCTAAGTTGGGTGATTATGAGAACTAGTCAGAGTGTCTCTATGGGTGTGGCCTGTTACCATGGTAAAAAAATCATAATTCCGTCCGGAATGTGCTTTCGTTGATGTCAGAAATAGATCAAAGCCTTCATCTGTCCATTGCAAGCAGAGGTCAGGGCTCTAATGATATTCATGACTTTCATCGGCCAGTCACCAGATTTAGTATTGGGAATGAATACAAACTTTTTAATATTATTGTTTGAATGATGTCACCTTGACCTCAGACAATGTTCGTTGATGTCACGTGTGATTATCATGTGACCCCTCCCCCTAGGATGTCCGCACGGCATGTGGTGTCATGTACGAGTGTGTTCTGGGGATCCCGAAGTCGGAGGGCATGCAGGCTCCGCCCAAAATCCCGGCAAACCCCTCGTTTGTGGAGCTAGACGAGGACGAAAATGCCGTGGAGACGTTCAAGACTGCCATGGCCAGCATCGCCAGCATTCTCACCCTCGACAAGCTCAAACAGGTTTGAAAACCAGTTTCATTCCCCAGTTGATAGAGCTAAAACAGGTTTGAAAAACCAGTTTAATTCCCCAGTTGTTAGCTAGAGCCTCAATGTTGTCATTAATCCACACACGAAACAGGCTTTGTCGATTTTTCCGCAAAATTTCCCACCTTACAGATTTTATTTTTCCCACCAGTTAAGCAGTTTTGTTTTTTGTTTATTGTTTGTTGTTGTTTACACAGGAGGTTGCACTGAAAGAGAAGCTGGCCAGTATTGGTAGAACTCTGAGGAAGAGATACAGCGTCCAGCAGAGGGCTGCAGTTCCTCGTGTCTCTGTGAGTCATTCTTGACTACCGAATCAAACTCTGTGTTATGTACGTGTATTATTGAATAGTGAAATGAGAGGTGTCTTTAATTGGCACGCATCAGGTTAACTATAAGTGACTGCATATCTTCATCTGTTCTCCCCCCCAACAGTCATCTGGTGGTATGTATGGAGGTAGTGAGTCGACAACGCCGGAGCCAGAGGTACATGTTGTGTGTCATGTGATCTCTGAGTGATGTCACATGACTATCACGTGATCTGTAGGATCTACACACATCGCCGCTACCGGGAGAGGGACTGAGGATGCCCCCACTTAACGAGGAGGAAGCGACGACGGTGGGGGGAGGGGGGAGGAGGGGGCGGGAGTCAGAACTTGGGCCAGAAGCTATGGTGAGCCTTTCTTTCTTTCCAAAGCTAGCTCTAAAACGTCTGCAATGGCAGTGGAACTCATGCCTGACTCCCCCCACGTCTCTCAGGTACTGGATGAGGAGAGTGGAGAGACTTCGCAGCTCATTCCCATTCCAGAGGAGGGTGGTGTGGAACCAGGACAGGACGATGACTCGGAACAGGTACACAACAACAGGAATCGGAACATGTTCAGAATGGAATGGAACTGGGACAGCCGGGCAGTGGAGGTGGAAGAGACGAGAACGGCTGGAGTCAACGATCTACCGACTGCGTCCACGGCAACTGGTCCTGGAGTAGAAATAGGAACGACTGAAGGACAAGGACAGACCCCTGCCGAGACTGAAGGACAAGGACAGACCCCTGCCGAGACTGAAACTGAAAACGAGCCGGCGGCTGAGGGGGAGGGGGAGGAGAAAGGGGTGGAGCCTGCTGCAGTGTTGATGGATATTTTAGAGGTCCCGGAGATCCAGATTAGGGTGGAGGTGGAGGAGGAGGAGGGGGGAAGAGGAGGGGAAGACAGGTGAAATGGAGAGCAGCACTTCAGAAATGGCGACTGAAGAGGTGAGGGAATCATCCAACGTAGGTGTATGTGCTTGTCCAAACCCAAGTCTTGCACTTTCAACCATATTATGTGATTCAGATAACAACTGAACTGCATGTGTTTAACTCCATTAATGTGTACCTCCAGACTCCCAGTACTAAGTCAAGTCCGAAGAGCACAAGAAGTGAAGACTCGACCGAGCTGGCCGTCTCCAACGCCAAGAGACGCAAGTCTGACGGGGAAGTTGGGGGGCCTGTCAAAATCAAGCCCCCCAACGCAACCCCCTCGTCTCACAGCACCTCTTCCAGCCCCCTGATCTCCAGAAAATCTGACCCCGGGGGGCCAAAACGTGAACCCTCTCCGACCCCCAGCAGTGGAGACTCCGAGGCCTCCAGTAGCATCAGCGTCGAAAATTCGACCCCCAAAACCAACGAACCCACGTACAGAATAGGAGAAAAGGTCAGGGTTTGGATTTGTATACTCTTGGATACTTGGAGTATCCTGAGTTTTGTCGTCTAGGTGATGGTGGACGTAAACGGACTGTTTAGGATGGGGTCTGTGAAATATGTTGGAGCAACTGAGTTTGCCGCTGGTGATTGGGTGGGTGTGGCTTTCGATCGTCCATATGGTCAGTATACTACTCAGTAATCCTTTGCATACTTTCAGTATTCCTTCAGTAACCTTTGTGTGAACTGGTGCATATCTCCTTTTGCTAGTAATCTCTTGTAAATTCCTGTGTACGTTAGTAATCTGTTTGTAATCTCTTGTATACTGTTGCAGGTAAGCACTCGGGAACAGTGAAGGGTGTGAAGTACTTCAAGTGCAAAGACAAACACGGTGTCTTCGTCAAGAAAGAAAAACTTATTCAGAGTCCGTCGGTTACCGGGGCAACGTCATCTCCGTCCCCTCGCTTCTCTCACGGGTCAAAGTCTGCTAGTCCGTCGGCACGGCGAAAACCGTCGACAAATCCAAGTGCCGTTCGATAACTCCTCTTTCTTCTCGTTCCTCCTCTTCTTCCTCGCGTCCCTCCTCTCTCTCCAATCGGCCCAGTTTCGGTGGCAGTCGGAGAACTTAGCAGTCAAACAAAAGGGGTTAAACCTGAAATTATGTCATCTGATGGTACCCTCCCTGGTATGTAAATAATTTGCTCAGCTGACAGTGTGTGTGATGCCTGGCAACCACATTTGTTTGTTTGTTTGTTTGTTTATATGTTTGTTTGTTCAATTGTACAACTACACAGTTACTTTGTGGTGTGTTTATGTTTTATTACCATTACTGATCTTATTATTAGTGACATTATTAATTTTGTTGACTTGTACAGTTTATTAATAGCTCATCATTCAGTTTGCTTCCACGGTTGTCGTGGAAACCCTGTTTATTTATTATAGCTTGCTTTCAGAACGTAACATTCTTTCTTTCTTGCTGTATATATACTGCATAAGATTAATTCCAAAAACAGAGAGGTGATTAAATGATAAAAAAACGGGGATATCTGGTGTTTTATAAAATGGGGGAAATGGAGTGATATCACGTGCGCAGCAAATCAAACAAGGTCAAAGTTCGTATGAGCGTTTCCTCTCCAACTGAAGATAAAACAGTTCTCCGTCTCTACTGTAGTAACCTAGAGACAGGACGGGCTTGAACCACGCACTGTTGCTTGCCAGAAAGTTGGCTGCGGCTGTTTCGTTCAGCCCCCACTCCATCCACGTTTCCAGTTCAACCGGTTTCTCTTCGAAAACGAGCGAGAAACGAGTGTCGTTTACGGGGTCAAAGTACATGTCTATGAACGTCGGGTAGAAGCTCTGGTTAGCCTGCGTTGAGAGAAGTGAAGAGATATCGTCGAGCGAGACGTTGTAGTAACTGCGCCATCTTGCCGGCGGAAGGTTTTCAATTGGAATGTGTAGCGCGAAGCGGCGGTCGCGTACATACACCGAGCTGACGTACAACTGGTCTTCGAGGTAGTAAAATGAATGAGAGAGAGCTTGTAGTTTTGTTTGGTGTGCGTCTCGAGATGGTTCAAATATTCACTTTCGTTTTCCCGCAGGTAGTAGACGTGCTCTAGGTGGGGCGGTACCCTCTTCAGAAGCAAGTAGAAAGCTGGACGAACGACATTTCGTCCTCGCGTTCTTGTGGTAATGTGCCACAGGCTGAACCCTTCTCCTGCCTTCTTTTCAAGCATTCTAGCGAGTGATTTGTTGCCAACTTCCAGTTTACACTGCGAGTGAACGCGTGTGTCGTTTGTGAGTATGATATCCACGTTGCTCCTCCGACCGCCGCCGTACGTGTTGCACCATGTCGGACGGAATCCGTCGGTCTCGTATTCTTGCAGCTCCGTGGCGTTCTTCGACACGTCGAGGTGGTGGAGCAATACGGTTGAGAAGTAGGAGAGTGGTCGAGGAGGGAGTGAAGGGACTACAACTGCATTGAAAAGAGTAAAAACTATCCCTATCATAGCCCCATACATCTATGATGCTAGGTACCTTGCCAATCCCTATATCACTAAGTACTACCGTATACTGAGTGATATATGAGTGCATTTACACAATAATGTGTAACGAATATCGGGCCAATGAGAGAATTCAAAATTCAACCAAACGACCATTATTATGTACGATCATTATAACAGTCAGGGCACTAATACTCCTGGCATCCAGTTACATAATCTGTTTGTTCAGACATCAGCTGACAATCTGCCCCACAGCGGCCCTACGCCTCATGAATATCACTAATGCATTCCACACGAAAGTCAATACTAAAATTTCCTAAACGTAGGCACAATAATTTGATTCAGCGCTGTCGTGAAAAATCGACATCGTGGCTTTTGTTACAATGAATACGATCTCCTGAAAAGAATTTGAATACCGCGATATTTATGAATACTGTGACCTGTGAGGGCTGAATTGTCAGAGGTCGCATTCCCAAGTGACCTGCTGAGCAGGCGTTGCTAGTCAACAAGCAACACCGTTGTTATGCCAGAGAGAGAAGTTGCAGTATGCTCTGCTGATGAGGGCCAACAAGCCAGAAACAGCTGTCCAGAGCTCCCCATCTTTTTTCTCTTGGCATCAGTGGTGTTTTCTACACATGCTAAGCCATTCCTCACTAATGATGGTTAGTTCCAGCAAAAGATTTACTTGTCAAAACAGCTGAAATTTTACACTTGCTTATATATATTTACCGAAATTTTCTAGACAAGTCTTACCGGGAAGGCTGGTGTTTTTGTAGAGCTTGGTGTAAGTTGCGTTGAAACCTGAGAAACTGGTTTCTCCGTCAGCGGTGAATCGGACGCAGAGTGAGGGAGAGAGTGAACGAAATGTCACATTCACCATCCCTAGATCCCCTGAGGAAACGGGGGAAAAGGGTAAAAAAACTTAGACATGAAATCTAAGTGCGTTAGAAGCCCGAGGACCCTTACATTGTAGAGTTCCGAACACGTCTAACTGTTTTTTTAGCTTGTTTACCTGATATGGTTGCCATGACGTTTGAACTGTCCCAACAAGGCCCGTCTATTACTTGAACAACGTCGAAGTTCCTTTCGGTCGCGACGGAATGGAATGTGATCTGAACTTGTTGCCCCTCTTCGGCCAATATTCTCCACTCGCAGTCCAGGTTGCCGGGGTAACGGTTTGGAAACATGGGCGTATGGAACGTGGACTGACTCAGTGGAAACCAGGACCCCCCACAAGAACCTGTATAATTATGATATAGACACCGATGAAGTTAGGTTCTCCCTCCTTAGCTAAGCAAAACAGTTTGCTGTTATCGGGAAATGATAAACATAAGCCACCAAACAACGTGCATTAATCCCTCAGACAGTAAATAGTCTACTACTTCAGTTTTCATTGGGGGTGGTTGAACACACACATTTTTGCAGCTCTAATTGGAATTTCTAATTAGTTTTGACGGCATTTCTGAGCTACAAGCAATAGGTGCACATGTGGCACACATGTTGTCCCTCCCCCTCCTGTCAGTCAACACCTTCCACCCCCTAAAATACCTGTAACCCACTACACCCAGGACTTGTCAATCGAGAGGTGATATATCGCTGGGCAATTTCGAAAAAATGGCCCTGGGGTACTGGGGTAGTGTGTGGCCATGCTGTCAGTAATTGAGGAATCCAAAGCAGTTGTGAGTTGTTACGTAATCGCAGACAACCGCATTCCCTATACCAGGAAAATATTTAATTGCCGTTGCATTACATCTTACATCACCAAATGAGCTAACGTGAGTTCTGGAACTGTGTGTTACAGAGATATACATCGGTGCCTAGTTTCTTGCTTGGCTCAACTGCACAAGAAGTGAGTTTTCTGCATAACACTGAGCTAGCAGGAAAACCTGCGATGGTTGCATCCTCTACGAGTGCACTCGAGGTGCAGGAAATTTGTTTTTAATGACAGTGGTTGAGGTGGCGTGCAAGGTAATTAATTATGTTAGTATCATATCTTTGATGTCCCTTAGTTAGAGGCTTTTCTCTGTACCTGGAATTTGGACCAGGCGGTTTGGAGTTAAGGCGTAGTAGCTGCGAGGCATCCCCTGGAAATTTACCATGTCCAAGAGTGAGTCGTTGATCACTCTCTCCTTCACCTGCTTTGCCGTCATGCGAGGAGTCCTGGCGAGGTGGATTGCTACAAGCCCCGCAACCATTGGAGCCGCCATGCTCGTTCCACTGAGGAGCTTCGAGCAGTTCCAGCAGACGTGGCTGGCGCCAGTAATCTGCTCTCCGGGGGCGAAAACATCGACGCAACTCCCAAAATTTGTCCCCTGACCAATCCGGTACAGTCCGTCGCCGAGTCTCGTCCCGGCGACTGTGATGGCGTGTGCGGAGCTGGCAGGCGAGCGATTGCAACAATCCGTCTCCCCGTTCCCTGCGACAGTTACCACGGGGATGTTCTTCTTGTATAGTTCCATGACAGCGTCGTTCACGGACTGATGGTAAGACCCACTCAGTGACATTGTAACGACGGCTGGTCTCATGCGAGATTCAATCACCCGGGAAACGAACTCTAAACCGTCGAGAACAACGCTCCACGGAGCGGAATTCTGGCACCCCAAGACCCGGACGCTGTACAGAGTTACTTTCTTGGCAGTTCCGAACGTTTTTCCACCGCAGAGACTAGCGACGTGTGTCCCATGCCCGTGACAGTCTCTGCCTTGCATCGGAATGGAATCGTGGCCCTTCTTCTGGGCATGCTCATCATACGGATCATAGCCTGTAGGTTGAGAAAAAGATAATATTATAGATCATCTGAAGGAAATTTGAGGTGATATGTGATACGTCAAAGAATAGATTTTAGCAGCTAACTATTACATGCTTGGCACAAAACAATCATGGGATTCAGAAGAATGAACAGATGTGCCTATCACACTATACATAGATCAAGCCGCGTTGAGCTGAACTACAAATTAAATCCCAGAAAAAACTGTTCCCATGTCTTCATAATAGAGAACTGAATGACATAATCAAATAGTTGATTGAAGGTTTAGTGATGAAAGGCACAGGACACACAGTGGCGTATTTGTTTCAGCCCCACAAACACCGTGAGATCACTCATGCGTCTTGTGACACAATGTGAAAGGAATTAGAGACAAGGCCTTGTGTGGCATTGACACCTCAGCTTGGAACATCTAGAAGCCTAGCTTTGGCTTTTAGTAAGTGGGAAAGGCATGACCTAAGTAGCCGTATGTGTACGGGATAACTTTGTTAGTAAGTAGGAAAGGTGCTGAGCTATATACAAGCCACTGAGCTGCTTATCAAGAAAGAGAGTAGTGCAGGAGTAAAGATATTCATTGGCTGTGGATTATCTATTTATTTTGCAGGTGCTTGCAACTGATAATCATACAGGTGGCATGATTCCTATTTGATCAGCTACCAGTAGATCAAACCATTGTGACAAGATCTATATATCTTCCAGCTCAGCTTGTCATGACAGCATTCACAAGCAATGGGTCAACAAGTTTCAAGCCAAAGGCAAATCACTACCACACTTCCAGGAGCTGCCCTGGTTGGGATTCAAACCCTAGACACTCAATCAAGACTATATTATTATACTAAGCTGCAGTAGCTATGACGTGAATTATGCCATTAACCCTCGACATCTGGACAAATCTAGAATGATTGCGGGCACTGGATCACACAGTGATTTCATACTTGAACCATTAGCTCTATTATTACCCTGTTCTGAAGCACGTAATAGTTTGAAATTGAATCTAGCAATCGAATGCTAAGTACACGGCATCACTGGTTTAAATTGCCACACACACACACTCACATTCACGTAGGCGCACAGTCAAAAGTTGAGGTCTGAAGTTTAATAATCAGTCTGTAGGTAAATTATTCCCTCCATTGAACACTGATAAATAGAAGGCGGGAGCAGAAGCACACGCAAACACGTGGACAGCTATTGGAATCTTCTTCAAATTTTGTGTGGCCTAGCTCAGATTTCAGGCTCATCTTTCGCTCAAAAAATTGCACCGTCCACCCATGGAAGACTGGCGCTCGCAACACACCTCAGAAATCTATCAGCATTGATAGTCCTACGCAGCTTCGTGTGGTATCGACTGGCTGTGGCCACATGCACGCAAGCTGTTCAATCCACCACCGAAAGCAGATAGAGTGGCAAAGGTGGCACAAAGGGTTAATGATTGGCATATTTGATGAGGACTCCTCTGCACTTAAATCACTGTTTTTAAAGACGCTTCAAAATTGCAGACATTACCATGTCAAAGTTCTAAGCCCCCACAGAGCTGTCTACAAAAGGCACTGGGAAACGCAGCAGGCTCTACCCCATTTGACAACAGCCCCTCACATCAATTGATTATGCTGTGCTTCAAGAGCATTACTGCACCCGGAAATGTGTTGATTGTTTTAAAACTTGCCTGCATACTTGGCTCTGAATTCAAACTCGCTGTGTTCGTATCTCACGCCAGAGTCCAGGACATATATATCAACTCCTTCTCCAGTCCCAATTGGCTGGTACGAATGGTCTAGCGGCCAATCGTCTCCCTTCTCTTGGTCCAGGCGATCGAGATGCCACGGAATTGGCCAGCCGCGCACCAGTGAATCCCCTCTAGCTTCGTCCTCCTCCTCAATATGGTCAACACCAGCCAGATGTCTCACCTGCAAGTTGCATAGTTATACATCCAGCATCAAAAAAATGGCTTTATGGGAAAATGTATCACCTACTGTCTCACAATGTGGGGTCACAGTGTAACAAAACTGCGAATTGTGCGAACTTTTCTAACAATAGTCCTCACCGCGTTTGAGAGGAGAGTGTCGCATATTGATTCGGTGGACTAATAGGCGACAATCTCGTTACACATGCAAATTGGGCTCGCTGCAAAGTTTTGCAGATGTCCTTTGCCAAATTGTATATTGAATGCAGGACCGCAGTAACGGAGCGAAAAAGCGCGGAGAAACGTGCGAGTGGCTAAAACAACTCACCATTTCACGCGCGTATGGAGAGAGAGTTGCCGTTATGACTTTCCCTACGTTCTCGACGTAGCTCCGCACCGTTGCGCCGTTAGAAATTCGCGTCAAAAGTTGATGGAACTCCTGCGACGACAGCGACTTGTCGGCTACAATCAGATGTTCTCCGGTGAGTTCCGCGTCTCGCGGAGCGCGCACCAGGGGGCGTCTCCGCGGCTCCGCGAGACCTGAAAATACCGCCAAAAGCAGCAGATTCAGTACATTGATCCAGCGGCGTAAGACATACATCTTTCCTTCGGATTATCGGTGGCTGAAAGTCCGGCGAGTGCGGCTTTTTATACGAACCCCGGCTTTCCAGCTTCTTCGATGCGTTACGTATGCACATGCGCGCTCGAACAAGCCCCGCCCAACTACGTTGCGCATGCGCAAACACTGTAGAGCGGATCGGAGATTACCCGGAAAAGGCGTGGCTGGCTGTGCAACATCCGGAGTCAAAGTAGAGCGCCTCCCCCTCTGACCTATAAAAACTTCGGAGCAATGAGCGACTGAACAATAAACAAGAAATGGCGAGTCCCTCAGCGCGGAGACGGCAGCAGAGCTCGGCGGCGTCGAGCATGATACTGAAGGAAGGCTACCTCTGCAAGAAAGGTGGCGTCATAAAGAGCTGGTCCCGGCGCTACTTTGTTTTGAATCACCAATGCCTATGCTACTTCAAGAGAGCGCTGAACAGTGCGGAGGCCGATTCTGGGCTCCAGCCACTCGGACGGGTATTTCTTAGCGACATTGTGGACATAGAGACCGAGGGCGTTGAGAAGAAGAGGGCGTTTGTGTTTTCGCTAAACACCAAGAAACGCGGGGTACTGCTTCAAGCGTCGAACTACGACGACAAGGAGAAGTGGGTGGATGCGGTGCGGCAAGCGCTGGAGACGGACAAAAGAGCGGAGAGAGAGGACCCGTTTAGAAGGACTTTGAGAAAACTAAAGTCAGGTGAGATAGAGAGTGGGGAGAGAAGAACTTACAAGGGAGAGAGCGAGAGAGAAAGAAGGGAGTGGAAGGTGAGATGTGTGTGTAAAGGCAATTTCTCATGGGTTACTGTGTGTTTGCGAACAAGTCAGAGTGGTGACAAATAGCAACTGTTGACCAACAAACTGCTCACAACAAAAACACTGTGCCAAGCCAGAGCTACTGCAATATCTTAGGTCATAACCCCTCTTTGGTAGGTGCCCGCCCACTGAGGAGCAGCTGACTCAGTCCACTGTTTACCCACAGAACTAACTTTGGGTTGCCTATACCCACCTAGTGATGCACTAACATAGCCACGAGGCAGGGGGTGGATATCATGCATATTCAATAAGTGAGACTCACATGTACGGTCAGAGCAGGTAGCTAGTATATACCTGGCTTCCCTGGCCTTATGCAGATGAGACTGCTTTTTCCTCACAATGGAAGTTGCATACACAACCTTTGATCTGGCTGTTAGTTGTGCCCTGATGCCTCAGTATGGTTAGTTAGGATGAGACCTTGGAACTTTGGTACATAACGATAATAGAGTGCGGGGAAGTTGCAAGATGTCTGAAAATCCCTTTCAGCCTTTACTCAGGGGATTATGAGGGGGCCTGAGTGCCGCTTTCACTTTCAGAGCTGGGGATGAATGAGAGAAATAATTTTGGGGGAAAGTTTCAAGAGATTGCTTTGGGAGTATGAGGAATTTGAGTAATGTAATACAATATGGGTGTTTGTGTGTGTGTGGTTTAAATTATTCACTGGTTGTAGCTGGACTATTAATACTGAAGGGGGTGGGCCTGCGTGTCAACTGAAGCATGCAATTGAGGTCCTAATATGGCATCACTGTCTGGTCAGTGACAGGAAACATGTGTTAATAACTACACCCTGTGACGTGTGCATAATAGTGATGAAATGTATGAGGAAGAAGGGTGGGGACAGGATGTGTACTGGTGTAATGTGGGAAAGCAGTTCAAAGCTGGTGTTGAATAGATCAAACAGTTGAAACGCACACTTTTTCCTCTCCTTGCACTTCCTCCCTGCAATAGTATGAGCCAAGACAAACAATATTTTCCGAAACTATATAGTGAGTCGAAGAGTTCACACCTTTTAGAATCACCTGTTACCCCCCCCCCCCCCTCTCTCTCCTTCGTCTTCCCTCACTCCCACACTTCCTCCGTACTCTCAGGGCTGAAACGTGTCACACTCATGAAGGACCCGGTCAAGGGGATTGGTTGTACCATAAAGTCAGCCGCGGGCCACGTTCTTGTCAACAGAATCATTGAAGACGGACCTATAGCCCAGACTGGAGTCCTCAGACCAGGTATAACACACACACACACTCCACGCAAACAGTTGGGAAATTTCACGTTTGCAAAACTTCCATGAATACAGTGGAACCCCTTGATCAAGAAGACACTAACGAGAGAGAAGAACGTGTCCATATTAGTGAGGGGTCCTTTTTCAAATTGTTAAATTGCATGCAAGAAACTGTTGTTGGGGGAGAAAGCTGTCCTTGTTAGGGAGGTGTGCCCATTTCAGGGGAGGGAGGGTTTGACTGTACGCTTGAACGGGGGGAAACTTACGGATAAAAACATTCTTCACTGAAAGTCCCCAACTATCACATGTGACTCTTGGTGTAAGATGGAATATGAACTGAAGAGTTTCTCTTAGAGAAAACTGTATGCTACTGACATGATTCCCGCCTGAATTTAGCAAAGAACACACTTTCAATATCGGGAGTTTGTTGTTTTTTTTAGTTTGTAAATACACCGCGTGGGTGGCTCCATCCATGGCATCTCCCTCTCTCTCTCTCCCTCCTTTCTCTGGCCTTCTCCAGGAGACGAGATTCTTGACATCCAAGGTACAACAGTCACCGGAATGCAAGTCTCAGAGGTCGTAGAGGTCATCAAACACGTTCCCGACCAGTTTCTGGCCACAGTTCGACCTCTGACCTCCATCAGTAAGAACCAGCCGGTCGACACTGGGAGTGTTCTGTATTCCGAGATCAAGCCGATGTCAATGGCCCCTCCCACCTCCAAACCTCCACCTCACATTCCAGAGATACTTATCAGTGGGGACTCCACCACACGTGCCACATCGTTCGATTTGAGCCCCACCCCCTCGTTAGAGGACGTCGGTTACTATGACGATGAGGAGGAAGACACGCCCCCTCCGATACCTCCGAGGACCGAGGACGCTCTTGTGATACTCGATACTCCATCGCAGCTCGACAGAGAAGGTACAATATAGTGGAGAGAGGAAACCGTGTGTATTTGGATATTTTGGGGCATAATATAATGTTCAGTTTTAAGTTTGCACAAACACGACAGAGTTAGGTTGGCTGCTTTCTCTACTAAAGGTTTTTGCCAGCGAGTCGTTTTTCATTGAGACTATTATCTGCTTCATTGGGTTGCACGTAATTTGTAGCGTTCATAATTAGAATGTGTCTTTCAGCTGCGGGATGTGTGGTCTATGCTTCAATAGTGGCATGACTGCTAATATTGTGTACATCTTTCCATTCCCCCCTGCTCTCTAAATAGAGTTCAAGCCAGCCCTCCCTCCCAAACCAAACACGCCTCCCCTCTCCCTCTCTCCTGCCCGACCGCCCCTTCCCAAGTCAAAGTCAGTAGAAGGCATCGCTGGACGACACGCCTACGAGGAAGTGGACCTGAAACGGAGTCCGCGGCCACGGCGACACCATGACTACGAGGAAATACAACCTGCTCTCAACTACATGGACATCAACAAACTCGACTTTAGCAAGAGGTCGGGTGGAGGGGCGAGGTCAAAAACTAACTCCCTCGTTAAAGTCGAGATGGACTGGAAACATAAAGTTCATGTCTAGCCATTGCTTCAGTGTCGTTTTCATTCCATGCTTTTTGTCAAAAAGTGATCATTGTTTTGTATTATGTTATGTAATTGTCATCGTCTTTCATTGTTGCCACGGTTACTAAATGTGAGGACGAGAGGTGTTGTCACCATGGAAATCGTTTACTACTTGATAAATTTTACCGTTACCGTCTGGTGTCCGAGTGGTTGTGGGTGTGGTTTACGGAGCTTGTGGGTACAAAGGGCATGTTCATCACTCTCAGGTGGGCAGGTCTGTTTGGTATCCCTGGCAACAGCATTTCCACCATGTCCTATAGATGTATTCATGCATTACACATTTTAACCATCCAAAAATAGCCAATAGCCAATTACTTGTTCCTCGGTGATGCTAAAAATAGCCTCGGCATTCTGCCTTTCCTGTGATGTCACTCTCAGACCGTCCAATGAGAGGAGAGACGGCAGGTTGAATATTGTGATTGGTCGGTGTTGATGTCTGCGTGCAATAGGATTATCTAAGAGAGAGATCTCTAGGAGGCGGGATAGTGGGTGGAGTTTGTCTAGCTCTGAATAGTCCTGCAACAGGAGGTGGCAGAGAGAGAGATGAGTGTGTGTGTGTGTGTGTGTGAGAGAGAAGAGAGATGAGAAAGAGAGAGAGAGAGAAGAGAGATGAGAGAGAGAGATGAGGGAGGGGGGAGGGGGTACCTGAATCTTGTTTCCTCCGAGGAACAGTCTCTCCAGGTTGACCAGCGTATCGAGATGAGACAGACTTCGAAGTCTAGAGAATTATGAGGAACATTTCGCCACAAGCCACGCCCCCCACAAGGTCACCTGTTTTCTTCCACCAGTAGCACACGGAGACTCACAAGATCAGAGAACGACCTCTCATGAAAAGCCTGCAGAGAGAGAGAGAGAGAGAGAGGGGGGGGGCAGCATTTTTCCTGTAGATAAGTTTAAAATTGAAGTGGACATGCCATAACATTCTCATGCTCTGCTTTTGAAGAAATTTCGGCAAATGTCTGGTTACCTTGATCCTGTTTCTGTCCAGGACAAGTTCAGTCAGTCGAGTCAAACCAGTCAGTCCATCGACCCTGCTTATTTCATTCCCTGTGTTGGTGGAGATCACATGACATCACATGACATCACATGACTGTCACATGACTGCCAACCTTGCAAGAACAGTGCCCGCAGTGAAGGAAGACAGCTCAACTGGAGAACTCCCATATTGCTAATGCCATTGTACCTACAATAGTAGAAATATGGGGTTTCGCTCTCTAAGGACACTCCTGAAATGAGAAAACCTCTCTTTTTCTCCCCAAGAACAGCTTTCGCATGCAATTTTACAATTTTAAACCCCTGAAATAAGGACACCTCCCTGTCCAATTTGTGTCTGGGATTAGAGGAGTCCCACTGTATGTAGGTTGATCAGTATAAGTCAGTAAGCATGTAGAAAAAGGTGTGGGATTGGGCAGAAAACTTACGCGAGATGCAGTACTTGGAGACTCCTCATGGCAGTGGTTGTTTCCCTCTCTGCTGTCGTCTCCCTTGGCAACAGACACTCTATCTTGTTATGGTTCAGACACAGGACCTAAAGAAAGACACACACAGAGAGAGAGAGAGAGAGAGAGAGTGTGTGTGTGTGTGCAATGGAGCTGTCGAGAAACGAAACTTTCACTGATCATGAGGTTTTGTAGCCAAAAAAATAAGCAGGTTTGAGACCTGTTTTGGGCAGCTTTCTCTGCACAGATTTACGGGGTGGGATCTCATTCTGTAACTCCATTGTTAATCTATGTACGTACATGTGTGTGTGTACTGTACCTTCAACTGGTTGAGATGGACAAGTCCCGATAACGACGTCAAACTGTTCTGCTCTAGATTTAGACTAACAAGGGGGGGGAGGAAGGAAGAGGAGATTTAGTGAGAAGAGGGTGAGAGGAAGGAAGTATACGCACTCTGAGGAAACTAGAGACATGCATATTATATTGTGGTAATCGTGTGTGCAAACTTTCAGGTGTAGACCATGTCTTCCGTTGTCCAACACACAAACAATAATATTGTGTCTGCAAAGTACAGTGTATATAGTTTAACATTGGAGCCCACCTCGAAGGACACCCCTGAAACGAGGAAACATTCGTACCTGGCAAGGTTCTTGAGGAGGTCAAAAGGTGAAAGGTCGACCGATCTGACCCCGCAGGATGGGAGATCGAGGGTACGGGCGTCTGACAGATCCAGACTGGGACTCAGCTCGTAGATCATGTCCTGTGTCAGCCTACAATCCAACATAAGACTCTTTACTGACAGGTATTGTGTAACCTATCTAATCCAGACACCAGTGGGACTAAAGAAAGCATCCATATTAGTGAGGTGCCGTTATTTCATCGCATACAAGAATGTTTTTGGGGAAAGAAGAGGTGTCCTTACTAGAGACGGTTCCCCTCATTTCAGGGGTGTCCTTCCACTGAATTCCTTACTGAATATATACCTTCCTCCAAGCTTTTCCTTTGCCTGTGTCACTTCCGATTGTTCCTGGATATTACACACCAATCAAAGCAGGGGTTCCTCTGATGTAATTTCTAACCAATGGGATTCCGTCCAACGCTCGGAGGGAGTGAAGATGATAAACTGCAAACATCCGATGTGTAGCTCCGCCCGTTGCCCCGCCCACTTCCGGTGTGGGCATGGCCAGAGGATTGTTCTCCAGTGACAGGATCAGCAGGCTTCTGAGGGGCTTCAAATGGAATAGCTGCCGGCGGTCGTGAATATCATTAGAGCTGATGTACAGTTCTTGAATCGAAGTTAGAACCTGGAGCGAAACAACAAACAGATACTACAAAATATTTTGTATGGTAAAATTTCTGTTCTTAGCAACCAATCAGATTCTCGTTGCTCTTTCTCAAGTTCACATGCACCCAGACACACAGAGTAAAACTTTTTTCATATTCTACATCCGGATTATCAAGGTAACGAAAAATTTGCCATGAGAAAAGAGAGAGAGAGAGGTGAACAAATTCTGAAGTAGCACAATTTGGAAGTGCGCATGGCCCCAATGGGCTTCCGTAAGAGAGAGAGGTATGCACATACGTACCTTCATTGGAGTCAGATCAGAGAGTTGGTTGTGGGAGAGTGAGAGACGAAGGAGTGAGGCGAGGGATCTGAGGTGTCTGGGATCTGGGAGGGACGACAGACTGTTGCCGTCTGCTGATAGAGTCTGTGGAGGAGAGAGAGGAATTTCCAGTAATAGTGGGGGTGTCCCGCTTAGTGAGGGGAATGAGGTATCCTGATCAGTGAGGTGTACTGATTAGTGAGGTGTCCTGATTATTAAGGTGTCCTGATTTGTGAGGTGTCCTGATCAGTCTGATTATTAAGGTGTCCTGATTAGTGAGGGGAATGAGGTATCCTGATCAGTGCATTGTCCTGATCAGTGAGGTGTCCTGATCAGTCTGATTATTAAGGTGTCCTGATTAGTGAGGGGAATGAGGTATCCTGATCAGTGCATTGTCCTGATCAGTGAGGTGTCCTGATCAGTCTGATTATTAAGGTGTCCTGATTAGTGAGGGGAATGAGGTATCCTGATCAGTGAGGTGTACTGATCAGTGAGGGTGTCCTGATTAGTGAGGTGTCCTGATCAGTGAGGTGTCCTGATTATTAAGGTGTCCTGATCAGTGAGGTAGGTATATTACCTGAAGGTGTGTAAGGGAGCAGAGTGGAGTGAGATCACTGACTTGGTTGTTGTCAAGTGACACTTCTTGCAGCTTCGTGCAAAGAGAGAGAGCCTACAACAATCAGTAGAGGAGAGAGAGATAACCCAGAGAGCCTATGGTTACTTTCATACTAAATTTCTTAAGTTTTTGCAGTTTGAAGAGATTGATTTTAAAGAAGGTATGCAGCTCCCTCTCATATACATAAGCCTCTATGAGCATAATACACTGCATTGTTCAGATTTAGGTAACTGTAGTATAATAATATGGACCTCGATGTTGCTGATGGTGTTATTGTCGAGACAGACCCACAGTAGATTGGGTAGTTGGTCGAAACACGACAGTCTTCGCACACTGCGACCGGCCAGATGAAGACACGTCACCTGTACACACATACCACATACACCAGTGGGAGTGAGACAATGTCAGGCGTATGATTGTGGTTTTGACCTTACGTCCCCAGTTATGGATGGAATCAGTGAACCTGGGTCTACAACAGAGAGAAATACATTATTAAGAGGATTTTCGAGGAAAAAATGTTCACAAATGAGGACTCCTCGCAAACAAATTTCCCGGTTGGCATGCAAAACCTTGTAATCCACTTGACATTTTTTTGTGGTGGTATTTATCTACGTAGGCCATAAAACTGATGGAAAAATTCTCTTTTGAGAGTTTCTCTCTACCCTCGTCACAAAATCCCCGCAGTGTAAGATTTTTGTAAGGCTATAATTATACGTACAATGGTAGTTTGATTAGGGAGTATGTGACGAAGGAGAGAGAGAGGGAGGGAGGGAGGACGGTGAGGGTGTGAACGTGGGGAGAGAGGGAGGAGGAGGAGAGTTGGGAGGCGGTGCAGTAGGCGACGGCAGCGGAAGTGTCGTCGGGCGTGACCGGGGTGTTGTCAAGGTAACGGAGGTTCTTTAGCCGAGTGAGGGTGTGCCTTCTGAACAGATCAGGCTGTGAGTGATAGAGAGAGAGGAAAACAGTCAGTGGGTTATTTTAAGGTCATACAAAGAATGGGGACTGCGTTTTTTCGTCCAAACTTGTCTAAAAATTAATGTGTTCACACACACAGACACACCAACCCACCACGGTCCAGGGGTTACGGCTGCAGTGAAGGGAGACCAGGGCTGGAGCATGTCTCCTCAAAACACTGACATCTGTGAAATAGCAGGTGAGGCTGTTCCAACTCATGTCCAACTTCTGCAGCTTTGGAAGATTCTGGTTGACGCAATGGAAGTGAGGAAAAATACTTAAACTCTAGACTCTAGTCAATAATATCCTTTACACCGACGTTCTGATACAGTATACCTACAGAGACCGTTAAAACTGTGACTCTAAGGTTTAAGGTGGTCAAAGTGCTAAATTCAAATGCTCTACAACGGTACAGTTACTGCTGATGGAGTAAAACATTGAGATTTGGGGACAGCTGGTGAGTATTCAACAATGGGTGTGGTTTGGGGAACTATTCTCACCTTCATTCCTTCAAGAGTGGTGATTTTATTGAAACTCAGGTCCAGTTCCACCAACTGTGGCTATGTGGGCGGTAATCACATGACACGTGACAGTCATGTGACAGTCACTGACCAGGTCATGAAAGTCCGCGGCTGTGTGGATCTCGTTGCACGAGAGTGTGAGAGTTGTGAGGTTGGGGACGAGGGAGTGTGTGAGGGACGACGGACACGACGACAGACGGAATCGAGTCAGGTGGTTGCCATGGAGACAGAGATCCTATTAAAAAAAGTACAAAATTTTTGTAAAGACTTTAAAAAATGTTCCCATACCTTTACATTGGAAAGATCGGTGCAGTTCGAAACTCTGAGGATTGATGCCTCGTCAAGTAGAGCTAACTTTGGCTGAGCAGGGAGGATAGGGGCGTGGTCTAGGATGACGTCATCAGTGGGAGTGTGGGGATCACGTGATGTCATGTGATCCAACACGCTCTTTGACGGGCCCTGTATTGGAAAGCACGCAGGATAAGAAGAGTGAAGGTGGGAGGTTGTTGTTAGACTAACTGGAGTTAGGTAGCGAAGGGAGATGAAGAACGATGGAATGACTAGAGCTGGGTGGAAAACAAACCACTCGCTGCTGTGAGCGTTGGCATGGCGACAGACAGAGTGGGAGGAGGGATAATCAGAAGGCGAGGGTCTGCGATCAGAGAGAAGTTAAGAGAAAATTCAGAGGAAACGGTGATTTCTCACATTCCTGAGCCGCTGATTTGCATGTGTTGACCCTTGAACACCTTACACAGCAACAGGTGAGTCTGGTTCTCATCACGTGACTTCTGACCACGCCCACTCTCGTCACGTGACCTATGGCCACGCCCACTGGAATGTCTGAGACGTGGTAGGTCGGCAAACATGATGGAGTCTGTCAGACTAACTGGAGGACTGCTACGTCTCTCGGGGAATCCATCACTACAGACTTGCAGCAGATCCAGCTCTAGAGAACGAAAATCATGTGTCTCTCATGTTGATACGAGGACAGGAACTCTCAAATCTGGACACCAGCAGGACAGAACAAAGTGCCTATTTAGTGAGGTGTCCTTATTTACATTGCACACAAGAGCTGTGAAAGAAAAGGTGTCCTCGTTTCAGGGGTGTGCATACCTGGGTTCCAGACAAGAAACAGGTATTCCAAGAGATCGGAAAGGTCATCTGGAGGTGGTATGGAACCCGGACCGGACTGCTCCAGAATGGTCTGGACTGCGGACCTCAGACGATGTCGCAACTTCCGATTCTCAATCCTCAGGACTTGCCTCACCTCAACACCGCTGAACCCAAACTCCTATGTACAAACATATAAATTTATTTCTCTCGAAAGCCCCACTATTATATGTAGTTGATTACAGGGGATTCCCCTGGTTCTGAAGCCACACCCACCTGCCAATTGGCGGCAGAGAACCGAGACTTTATGAGCTCCGTGCAGGCCCTGTGCCAGTGACCTTCGCGACCCCCGACGGGGGCCAGAAACTTAGTGTTGCCCCCTGACTCCAGCTCAGTCTGCCACAGTCTAGTCTGCCAGTCCAGCTCCTTCCTCAGCTGAGATAAGTGGTCAGTGCTAGTGGTGGTGACGTGGTCCATGTAACTGGTCAGGTGCTCAATCCTCTCTTGGATCAGTCGCATTTCTCTCTCTTCCTCTCCTCTTCCTCCTCCTCTTCTTCAGTGGCATCGTGAAACTGCTTCAGCTGGTGTGAGATTAAATACGTAAATATTATAAAAGAGAGGAGAAATTGGAGGAGAAAGAGAATGGAAAATATGAACACCCATGTATATTGGACAAAGTTTATAGCAATTATTGTAGGAAAACGATCTTCGCGGATAATGAATTTGGTTTACGTACTCTCCCCAAGGCAGTGTGGAGGGTCCTCAATCTCCCTGACACCACTTCCTGTAGCCGTCTCACTTCCTGTTGGTGGGCGTGGCACTTCCTCTCCATCACTTCCTGTTCGTGTTTCACTCTCATTCGATAGAACATCTTCTTCTTGGACACCAGCCCCTAGATAATCATTACATCATCATCCTATGGCACAACATATTCTGAACTTTCAAGTGCTGGGACTAAATTTTTCGTACGTTTGGTATATAGCAAGTGAAGGGAAGGACAGGCCAACTAACTATACTGAATACCTGGACTATAGTTGGAGAGTGCAGTGCAACAATTCGCAGACCCATACACATACGTATACCTGAACAAGGCTCTTTACGTCAGGCGAAGACACGTCCTGTCCGCCGAGAGTGGTGAGATGTGGGAGGGAGAACAGGAGGAGGGAGGAGTAATTGCAGAGGAGACAGAGGGGGTTGGGAGGGTGGTGAGGGTGTGACAGGGAGAGGGAGTGGAGGGAGGGAAGGTCCGAGAGTGGGGACAGGTCCTGACGAATATAGAAAGATGGTTTTTGTCTATCGATACACTGGAACTATCAAACGTTCATGCATGAACCATCTATATAGACTTGCTAATTTTTGGAAAGCAAACAATCAATGACACCAAGAATGACACTTTCTTTTATGACAAAATCTGCCTAAAACACTTGCAATATGCGGCCATAGTGTGCTGAGGATGATCAGCCTCATGTAGCTGACTTACTTCAAAGGATGAGATCTGGTTTCCTGAAAGATCAAAAATCTCCAATTTACGGAGGTGCTCCACTGCCCCCCTGATGGAAGTGAGGGTGTTCCCCGCCAAATTCAGGTCCCTCAGATTACCAAGGTTCCCCAGACCCTCCACGCGGGAAAGACGGTTGCTGTTGAGCCACAGTTTCTCCAGATAAACCAGTTTGTCCAGTCCCTGGATCCTGCTGATCCGGTTTGAGTACAGGTATAGCTGGACCAATCTAACACAGCACTCCACGTTTCTCATGTCCTGAAAAAATTTGAGCTGCTTATTTTGAGAGTTCAAAAATTTTAGGTAGGTTGCGTATAAAATTACACATACTTCGAGTGCTGTCTCGCAAACCCATAGTTCAGTGAGGTGGTCACATGACTCAAGGCCAGCTAGAGATCTTATTGGTTGGTTGACAATGCAGAGTTTGGTGAGATTGGGAAAGTGGTGAAGGCCACATAACCGCGGGAAACCGAAGAAGAAAATCTCAATCTTCGTAACATTTTCGTCTTTTCCGTTTTCCAGCAGTCTCTCATAGTTGCATCCACTGACTGCACACTATATATACACACGGCAGAAAGCAGGCACAGTATGTACATCAACAGTGCTTCTGCTGTTGTAGCTAAGTGCTCACTAGTTCCCGCAAGATGGCCTCGTCGCTGGGGTCGTCCGTCCCTCGCTTCTCTCTTCCCCCGGCACCCTCTTCGGCACTCATAATCCACCAGCCCCCCTGGTCCTTTTTCTGCAGCGCCAGAGGCTGTTTGTCTGTTACCTTGGCAATAACGGGTGCACGTGCGGCGCTCCCTCGTGCGCATGCGTACGCTCCAACTAAGGCTTCGCAGAAATTCCTCCCACGGCGCAGCTCTTTTTGCAAGCTGTAGACAGGTACAGGTGTCAGCAGCTTAGGAATTATCCCCCTGCGTCTGCATATATAAACTCTCCCCCTCCTTGCTTGGAGACCCGCGCGAGAAGGCAAGACACGGTCGAAGATGGGTCTGCTGTCAGAAGGGAAGCCGCTCACGTGGGAAGAGACCAGGAAGTACGTGGAGCTGGTGAAGCGAACGGGCGCTCTCCAGTTTCTGGCCAACTACAACCGTCTCAAGGACAGACCTCGAGACGAGCTCAAATGGGGAGACGAGGTATAGTTGATTATGCGGTTACCATACGGGACGACCCGTTCCTGCCCAATCTGACAATGCAAGCAATGCACATGTATTGTCCAGATCGAGTACACTCTGGTCGCCGTTGACGATGACAAGAAGCGAACGCAGCTACACCTCATCGGACCAGACATCTTGCAAGGCCTACAGGTGAATGACTTTGCTCCAGCCCCTCTTCTGGCTAGCTAATGTTTTATTCACACACACACTCTCTTTGGCTCAGGTGCCAGAGACGGAAGACCCTGACAATCACTCCACAAAGTGGAGACCGGAATACGCTAGCTACATGATTGAAGGTGTCCCGAAACACACAATTCCACACAGTAATTTTAATTCTAGCTGCTGACGTTCGAAAGTATGCGATATGCAAAGTCATACCCCCTGGCTGGCTCTTCAGTGGTGGTTCTCCCACAAGTGATTCTATATAGTGATAGTCAATCCTCATGGTGTCTTTGTTGGCAAGCCTAGCTGTTTACATTCAGCACTTCCCTACAGGTTGGTGTGTGTATACAATCAGCACTACCTCTACACAAGAAACATTCCAGGAAAACGCTTGTTGTAATGGGGTTATATCTTACATTCCATCAGAGATTAATAATAGAGATACTGTGTGCACCTTAACACCCATTTTTACAACTGCTAAAAATTTTAAACACTCGTTTTCTTCATTTTCTCAGGTACACCGGGGGCGGTCCCGTATGGAGGGAGTGCCCACCATCTGAATGTGGTCGAAGCCAACATGACCGTGAGGTGAGGACGCAGCGTCGTTTTCGTGGCATTTCTACATTTGAGGACGACAGAAAGAGAGAGAGAGAGGGGGGGGAGGAGGGTGTGAAAGAGGAGGTGAAATACAGTGAACCTCTGAATAAGGGAAACACCTTGGGACATCTGTCTTCACTCTGAGGTGTCCCTTACTCTGAGGTATATACTATTAGTATATGAGGTAGAACCTCAGTGTTCTTTACTGAGAGGTGTCCTTATTTGGAGGGGCCTATTTCAGAGGCTCTAGGACGAGGCAAATGATGATTTTCCCATCTGACCACCTCTGCCTGCTAATCTTGATGAGTGGTAACAAGAACACACCCCTCATTGTAAAGTCAGGCAAACAGTAATCAGGGTCGTAACGACAGGGTTGAGGGTGGGCGTGGCAGTACAACTCTCACCCTTTATCACTCCGATCTACATTCACAGTGGTTGTCATAGCAACCATATCAGATTCGGTGATGATATTTTAGTAATCTGATGCCTCCTCCTTACCATAGCTGAACTGTGAGAGTGACGACACCTCTCTAGTAAGGACACCTTTTCTTTCCCAAGAACATGCATGCCCCTGAATTAAGGACACCTCACTAATAATTATGGACAGTTTATGCTGAGGGGTTCCACAGTATTTCATACGATAAGGCTCACCATCTCTAGGAGAAAGCAGCTGCAGGAGGCTCTGAAAGGGACGACCACTGTTCCCCTGTGCATCACGGCCTTCCCCCGCATCGGGTGTCCTTCATTCACCCTCCCTGCCTACCCCCTCTCTCCCCTCCCTCCCGCCTCTCGGTCTCTGTTCTTCCCCGACGAGGCCGTCTGGAGCGGACACCCCAGATTCATGTGAGAGAACTTCTCGCACCACAACTGAAACAGAAATCAATTTCGTGAATTTAGCTGTTTGTAAGCCATGTAGGAAAGGTTTATTACGAGGGATTTTTTTATTGCAATCGAAGAAGTTTTCCTTGTCGCTGTATTCATCCTCATTAGGGAACAGAGATTTTCTGTGTGTCTCTGGTTCCAGTGTATTGTGTCGATGAGTGCTGTTTTTGTGACTTTTTGCTCAGAACTCTAACGAGGAACATCAGAGAAAGAAGAGGGGAGAAAGTGGCAATGAACGTTCCAAGTAATGCTACCTCCAAACCCTTTGGTGCGAGGTCCCTTTACACTCCCTCTCTCCCCTCTCTCCCCTCTCTTCCTCTCTCTTTCTCTTTCTTTCTCTCTCGTCCTTTTTCTCTCTCTCTCTCTTCCTCTTCTTCTTCCTCGTTTTCAACCTCCCCATCAGTCTTCAAAGATACGAACACACCAAGTCCATTTGTTGAGAAGTTTCCAACAGATATCGATGGCACAGGTTCAGTCAGAGCAAAGCCTGATCACGTCTACCTCGACTGTATGGGGTTTGGTATGGGTTGCAGCTGTCTACAGGTCTGTGGGACTCACATGACTGTCATGTGATTTATCATGTGATCCACAGGTAACATTCCAAGCATGTGATCTCCCGGAAGCAAGACTTCTATATGACCAGTTAGCAGTTATATGCCCTATTATGGTGGGTAGCGATGGTATTACAGGGTCCTTCAAATTCTGCTGATTGCCCCCCCCAGCTGTCAATTTCAGCGGCGACTCCTGTAGTTAGAGGTTATCTGACTGACATGGACTGCCGGTGGAACATAGTGTCTGGATCAGTCGATGATAGAACTGAGGAGGAGAGAGGACTAAAGGTGGCCACCTTCTTACAATAAGACTTTCTTGCTCTTTGGGAGTTTGTGCAATTACAGTTCATGTCTTTAAAAAATACGTCAAATTTCTGTTTTTTTGTTTTTTTTTGGTTTGTCCCTTTTGGAATGTAATTGTGCTTCTAGTTTGCTAAATGTTTTTGAGGCTCCTAGAAAAATGTTTCTTGCAAAACTGCATTTTTACATTATATCGCCTTCAAAATGTTGCTGAAAAAGGTTCATTTTTCCTTATTCTATTCGCCTCACAGCCTCTCTCTGAGTCCCAGTTTGCAATCCCGACATCTCGCTATGACACCATAGACTGCTACATCTCCAGCCACGAGTACAACGACATACCAATTCTTTGCGACCCCAAAATCTTCCAAACCCTTCGCGACGGAGGTATACATACGTACGTATGTGTAATAATGTTGTTCCATTCTATAGCTGGACACTTTGAGATCAAAAAGAGGGCATTTTGGCTGCGATTTTGGCAGATTGGCATATAAAGTGAAAATTTTGCGATTTTGGCAAATTGGCCCTTGCATTATTTGTGTTACTATGGCAATAGTTCTCCACTTAACAACGCTTTTGCCAAAACTGTATTTGGTGATTAAAATGTTAACAGGGAAAGTGTTTTCATGTTGTCCAGGAGTGGATGAGCTGTTGGCACGTCATGTGGCCCACCTGTTCATCAGGGACCCCGTCTCTCTCTTTGAGGAGAAGATTCATCAGAACATCGAGGATGACGTCGACCATTTCGAGGTGAGTATAACCACGTTTGCCAAACTTTTTCCTCGAAACGTTGTATTTAAACAATCCGCAAGTCGTTTGTTAGCTCTCTCTCTCTCTCTCTCCTTTCTCCTCTCTCTCCTTCTCCCCCTCCCCTCTCTCCTCTCTCCTTCTCTCCCTCCCCTCTCTACCCCTGTCAGAACATTCAGTCCACCAACTGGCAGACTATGAGGTTCAAGCCTCCGCCTCTCAATTCTACCATCGGATGGAGGGTGGAGTTCAGGCCACTGGAAGTATGTTCAACCCATCTTCCACTCTCCCTTCTCTCTCTTCTCATTCTCTCTTTCTCTCCTCTTTCTTGTCTCTCACTTCCTTCTCATTCTCTCTCCCTCTTTCTTCTATGCCAGAAGAGGACACCTTCTCCCCTTTTCTCTCCCCAAAGACTGTTAACACCTGAAATAAGGACACCACCAATACAGACACTGTCCCACCGTAGAGGGATTCCACTGCACTCCTTCATAAACACTGTTCCTTTTTTCCTCCTCTTCTTTTAACTCTTTTCCTTCAACATTACGTCCCCTGTTTCCCTCCCCTTCTCCTGACACAGGTACAGCTAACTGACTTTGAAAACGCTGCATTCGTCGTCTTTGTCGTTCTGCTGACGCGAGCCATTCTCTCTTTCAAACTCAACATCCTCATACCAATCTCCAAGGTAACCGGTTTGTCGTCACCATGGAGATGATGTGGTTGCTATGACACTGACCAATCAGATGCAGGAGAACATGACAAGGGCACAGAAGAGAGACGCGGTTCGCAGCGAGAAGTTTTACTTCAGAAAGAGTGTTGTCCCCGACGACGACAAAGATGATAACGAGGGGGCGGAGCCTAAGGGATCGCATGACCACGAGTACACAGAAATGTCTGTGGACACTATCATCAATGGCAAGGTTAGGTCCTATTCCGATTCCGTGGCTCGCTCTCTATTCCGTTCCACCCTGGAATGGACTCAGGACGAGTTCCCGGGTCTCATTCCTCTGGTGAGGATGTATGTCAACAGTATAGAGATGGATGTGGACACTCGATGCTCCGTCATGCAGTACCTCCGACTCATCTCCAAGAGAGCTTCTGGTAAAGTTTATACAACTCACTCCTATACACTTTAGACCAGTATTTTCAGTCTGTCTAGAACCCCTTCTAGTGAGGTTTAGCTTACCACTCGACTCTTACCTCCAGCCCCTATCTTTAGACCAGTAAATTAATGTATATAAGTCTCAAAATCACTCATTTCCTCAACATGAACTCAATTAAAGACTAATATTAAGCATCTTGTGTAAATTTGCGTACTGCTATTTTCAAAGTACTATAGCAACAGGTATAATATACCCTTCCACTCCCACTAGGTGAGCTAATGACAGGTGCAAGATGGATAAGACACTTCCTCACCTCTCACCCTCTCTACAAACAAGACTCTGTCGTCACCGAGGAGATGAACTATGACCTCGTCAAGAGGATGATGGAGATCTCCGAGGGGACTGTCCCCTGTCTAGAGCTAACGGGAAAACTCCTCCCAAAATCAGTCGATAATTAATTAACAATTTTTAAAACCAGTAAACTACCTTTTTACCGTGAACAATTTTCATATTAATGCCATAATTTAAAAATAAAGTAGTCACGTTATTCTTGTATCATCTTCTATCAGAATTTCACATCGTTTTCGCTGCAGTTAAACATTGCACTCTCAGAGTTAGTTTACAGAATGCAGATATTGTACCTGGGTGTGTGAGAGAGGGTCCATGATGGATGTGGAGTGGGCGTGGTCGGGTGGGTGTGGTCTCAGCAATGTCTTAAGACGTACGGCCTCAAGGGAAGTGGGTTGACTGTTGATGAGCCATTGAAGTTCTTCATCCTGTGTGGTGAATATTAATGTACACACTCTTTAATATACTTGAAACGTGAGTCTTGCGCAAGTCTCAAATCCTTACTTGACCCTAGTGTTTCAGTTTAAAGGGGAAATTTCACCAATATTTTGATTACCCGTCACTCTCTATGTTCAATTTGCCGGTAACTCTGTGAAAAGTACCTACCTTGAAAAATCAGATGAGAAGAAGAACTGACCTGCTGTTTTTCATAGCATTCTCGCAGTGACTTTATTCTATGTCTGGCCTCCGCTGCTCTGAAACAACAACGGGCAAAACTCGTAACGCCACGATGACAGCTCTGCTTAAAGTGACTTGCTTGATTTGTCCGATGAGTTCACTGTCTTTCTCCAACTCCACCAACTTACCCAGACTCAACTGCTCCTGCTGCCTGCCGGGACAGAGATACAGACAGCTACCGTACAACAGTTAACTTTTGGCATTGCTTATAATATACAGAATAGCTAAATTAGATGGTACGCAAAATAATGTGCAGGGTGTGCTGTCCAGCAACACCTATACTAAGTGAGGGAAAATCACTAACTTTAAATCATTATGTCAGATAGAAAAGCAGCTAGCTACAGTTTTGAAAAAGAGAGGGTAAGAAAGGGAGAGGAGAGAGGCTCACGCAGTTCTCTGCTGAGCTTGTCTCTCTCTGACTCGTTTCACTGACTCCATCTGTTTCTCCTGGACCTCCTTGGAAGGTGGCTCATACTGAAACAGAAAGACATTAGTCTCTGAGGGATAAAAAACTGCAACAGTATATATACTCATTTTTGTGTAGAAGATAAGGAGGCTGTGTAACTCACTGCCAGGTAGCGGCTCCTGGCCACTGGTCCAATCCTCTCCAGTTCTCTCTGTGAGCACTCTCTCCAGCTCTTGACCTCTCTCCTCCCCTCCCCTCCACCCACCCTCCCCTCTCCAACTCCCCTCGTCTCTTTCTCCAGCCGTTTCACCAACTGTTGCACCTTACTGGAGTACCCTCGGTCGCTCCTGTTTGCCACAAACAACATCTCTCTATTTTTGTCCGCATTTTCCTGTCTATAGATAGCTTATAGTTAGCTGCTACCTTTGCGTAGCGATGCAAGAACGACGTTGATGCTCGATGGTCGCCATTTTGTTTGCCGTCGGTTCCATGACAATGACCTTTGACCTTAAAATTGCGCATGCGCGTTTCATCAACCGCAAACTTCATCAAGAGAGCGCGTGGTTCCGTGTATTTACTGTGTACAAGTAGCTACTGTACTTACTACTGCCGGCGTCCTGGTGACCTCTCTCTCCTCTACTCTCTAAAAGAACACTTCTGTACCCTAAGTTATGGAAGTTCAGCAGCAGACTCAGCAGATGTCGTCGCCCGGCACCCAATTCGAGCCAGGGTGAGTCGAGTCCTCTCTTCCGCCATTTTTTCCTCACTCACCGTTGTTACGCTCCCTGTCGTTTGTCCCTAGGAAAATATTTGTTGGGGGGCTGAGCTGGGACACGAACGAAGGTAAGTGTGCCCGAGTTGTTTTTTCGAAATGGACAGGATATCGGGGACGTGCGAACTTATGCTCACGTGATTTTAAGCCCCATGGGAGAGGAAAAGAGCGTTTTGCTGGTATCTGTATCGCCTTTTTGTTAGTGGACATGCAGAGTCAGAGTGTGCCTTACAAATGATTGCGTAACTAACATGTTGACACCCTGTCCTTGTATATACTGTGGGTATATACTGTTGTGTGTGTGTGTCTGCCAGCGAGCATGCAGGGACACTTCCAGCAGTTTGGGACCGTGAAGGATTGTGTGGTAATGAGGGACCCGGATCAGGACCCAGGAATCAGGAAAAACAGGTTTGACGACCTTGTCGTCTCGTCGCTCATGCACCACTCACTACCTCCGAACACACACACACCCACACGCACTCTCCGCAGAGGTTTTGGTTTTGTGACATTTGAAGACTCGGCTGCTGTGGCGAAGGTTCTTGCCATGCCAGTTCATATCGTGGATGGGAAGAATGTGAGCGTGTATCGCTGGTGTTTGTGTGTTGAATAATGAACTTTGTCATTTATCCGCCTCTTGAAAGGTTGACCCAAAAGCTGCTGTTTTAAAGGTATGTATGTACATTGTTTTTTTCGTTGAATTTTCCTTTAATCTCTCCCACTTTTCCCTCTCTCGGTTCTGGTTGCGTATATGTACTCGGTCCCCTTCTTTTCGATGTGTCTCTCTTATTCTCGAGCTCGTTTTCCTATCTCATAGATCCCTATCTCTCTCCCTCCTTCTTGTCTCCCTCCCTCCCTCCGTCCCTATCTCTCTCCTTCCCTCCCTCCCTAAATGTGTATCCTGACATAGGGAGGCCCGGTGTCAGGAGGAGACACTAAAAAGAAGGTGTTTCTTGGTGGCCTTGCCAGTCAGACCACGGAACAAGAAGTGCGGAATTATTTCGAGTCACGATATGGAACAGTAAGTGCTATATAGCTGGCATTTAAATGTATGAAATCTTTTCAACGTCCAGTCTGCATGTCAGTTTTCAAAAAAAATTTTTTACAAACTGCGACTACTCCACAGCTGTGTGTGCATAAATTATAGGTTTGCAGGTATTTTGATCTTTCCAAGACACCTGAATATTGGCTCCACGTCATTCGATCGTTCTCCCTCCCTCTTCTTTCCAGGTAACTGATGTTGACTTCAAGAAGGACAAAGACACCAGTCGTCTACGAGGTCAGTGCGCCACACTGTGACGCCACCGCTCTGTACAGTGGAGCCCCTCTTCTCTAACGACACCCTGAAATGACAACACCACTTTAATAAGGACACCTTTCTAAAAAAGCAGTTCTTGTGTAAGATGAAGACCCCTCTAAAGTGAGGTCACCTCTTCTTTCCCCAAGAACAGCTCTTACTAATACCCATACCCTAAATAAGGACACATCACTCGTTTGGACGCTTTCTTCTGTCCCATTGGTGTCTGGATTAGAGGGGTTCCACCGTACATGTCTCTATATATAGTATCTATAACCACGACGTAAGTATCATATGTAACTACTGTAATTATCCATCTACCTACCTACATGTCATTAACTACTGCTGTCTGTAACTACTGGCGTAACTACTCTGCTGGTAACTACGACAACTGCTGTGCTGTAAACTGCTGTGCCGTAACTACGATGGATTCTACCCAACCCCTCCTGGACGGTAAAACCGTTTTCACACGTAAGGCTTTGGTTTTGTCGCGTTCGAGACTGAAGAAGTTCGTAATGAAGTCGTGAAACTACACTACCATGAGATCTGCGGAAAGAGGGTGGGGTTCTCTATTCTCTCTGTGTATGGGGGAGGTGTTGTGGGGCATTAATTAGAGTTTTGGTGAAAGGCGTGTGAAAGTGTGTTTCCTACCACCTTCTTAACCCCCTCTTCTTCCTACCCCCCTCGCTATTCTAGGTTGAGGCTAAAAAAGCTGAACCTCGCGGTACACCAGTGAGCGGGGCCCCGGCACAACAATTTCAGCAGCGCATGTATCAACAGCCAGCCTATCCTTACCATCCGCAGGGTATACAATATACAGTATGAGTAAAACTTATGTTAACACTCCATATATACCAGTGTATAACTCCTATATACTCTGTTCAACAGCTGCAGCAAGCAATGGGCAGTACCAGCAGTACTACGGCGGTGGTGCTAGTAACCAGTACTATGGCTACCAGCAACAATCAGGTATGAGTGCAGTACGTTCGACACTTAACTTTAAAACTCTGTTAACTCTCGTACCACCATTTAAATTTTAACCCTATTCACACGGGTTTTACAACACATTTGTGTCTCCCCCGATGCACAGGCTATGGACCTCAGTACAGTACCGGAGGGAGCTACCCGTATGACCACTCTGGCTATCCTCGAACTCAGACCTCAGCTGGAGACAGACCGGCTGACCCTCACCAGTCCTACTACCAGACACAACACACCTACGGTCCGTCTCACCTCCCTTCAGGACAGCGTCACAGTCTGTCCTGGTTGTGAATATAGCAAAACCCACACCTTCTTCCTCCACTAGTGATTCAGAAGGCCCAACTTACCCTCCCTACTTGTCTTGGTGTTAAAAAGGACACACTCCAATTGATGCACGCTTGTTTTTACGTTTGTGCGGGGAAACGGCACTGCACGGGCATTCAGTAAAACTCCATGCGAGTTACGATATTTTGTAAACATGTTTTCACGCATGAGTGCATACTAACTGTATAGTTACGAGGTTTGTATGTGTGTGTGTGCAGGTCACAGTGGGGCCCAGCAGATGGGTACAGGGTACACCCAGGAATCGGCTGCATATGGACGAAGTGCCTACCCCACCACCCAGGAGACTGGGTACAACCAGCAACTGGCCAGGTACAGTACACATACAATGAGTATAGCGTGCAGATCGCGACAACAGTCATATTATTACACAGCAGAAGAGTTTTCCCTAGCTTCACATAATTATAGCACTGATTTCCTTTTTTCTCTCCCCCCCTCCCTTCCCTGACAGCTATGGTCAAGCAGCAGCTGCTGCCCACCAGCAACAGCAGCCTCCTCAGCAAACTCATCACTACGGAGGTGGAGCCGGAGTGGCTGGTAACTATGGACACTGAAGAGAAGAACGAAGCAGCGTCAAACTGAACTGAAATTGTGTTCATATTTTTGGCCTCAAACCCTTTGCGTGACCATCAGTATTGAAACAACTTGTTGCCAGATTAACCCACACACGCACACGAAATTACAGTGAAACCTCAATAAGGAAACACTTCTCAGTCTAATTAGACACTTTTGCTACTGCCTTGCTCCCACCTTTCATCTTTCCTCCCCATCTGCTCCTAACTGACCCGTATACCTCATCTTGCGCTGCAAATCATGCGCATGCAGCGAGTTTCAGTTAAAAATGTAAAAATATTTTGTCACGAGAAATAGGGAATAGCATTGGGTCGGGAGATTGTTTCTAGTAGCAACCGGTTGAGTGTGGCTTCATTCATCACATGATTAGTGATGGTAGGTGCCAGTAGTACAATATTGCTGCTGTTGCTGCTGCATAGCACCTCCACCTCCTCTTCCATAGCTGTGTGTGGGATAAGGTGAAGAGACTATTTAGCATAATAGCAAGATTCAGCAAGGCCTTTGGTATCTATTTGAGGTGTGGCTTGTAACAATGATGGAAATCAGTAGGTGCCAAAGAGATCTCATGGAGCTATATACTCACCCTCCAGAATGCTGCCTGTATCCGCCATGGCCTCCTCCAGAAAATCCTCCCCTTCCCTGCGAGTTGTATCCTCCATTTTCATGACCGTATCCCCCTACCCCTGCTCCTCCTCCTACTCCTGGCTGCTGCTGACCTGAAAAGTCAGAGAAACACAATGAATGACTATATAGAAACTGGCATTTTATGCGTGGTAAAAAGCATTGCGGCATGGTCACCACATACAAATATACAGCATCATTCGGACAACTAATTTGTGGGTGAGCGAAACAAGGCTGCCTACTCATCTGAATTGCACGCCTGTAACTTGCGTTTTGGGCCCAAAATGCAGCATTGTACATATTCACAATCAGGACAGGTTGTGAGGCTGTCCTGAAGGGAGGTGAGACGGACCGTAGGTGTGTTGTGTCTGGTAGTAGGACTGGTGAGGGTCAGCCGGTCTGTCTCCAGCTGAGGTCTGAGTTCGAGGATAGCCAGAGTGGTCATACGGGTAGCTCCCTCCGGTACTGTACTGAGGTCCATAGCCTGTGCATCGGGGGAGACACAAATGTGTTGTAAAACCCGTGGGAAGAGGGTTAAAATTCAAATGTTGTTATGAGAGTTAAGTTAAAGCATGTGATGTGAAGAGAGTTAAATGATGGTGATTTAAGAAAGAGCAAAAATGAAGTTACGTATAGAAATATTTTTGAAACACTATGAGGTAACTTGTGTGGATAAGAGTGGCCTACTCAACCAGTTTTAGCTAGCTGAGCAGGATATATAGTGTGTCTTTATTCCACTCCATTGCTCTTTGCCTGTCCTGACTCCAACTGGTATGGAATATGACCAGTTAGAAACGCCTCAACAGGCTCCGTTTTCCATCCCAGATAAATTTGCACGCACCCGGCAAAATTTTACGCCGTAGAGTAAAATTTTACCTGGATGAGGAGTAGGGTAAGTTGTGCTGTAGTATTGCTGATTGGCAGCTGGTCCCCACTGTCCTCCATAGTGACCATTGCCTCCTGAATAGTCTGTGAAACAGGCAGATTACTAGAGATTACAGAGAGATTACCAGAAGATTACCAGAGAGATTACAATAAAATAACCAGAGTATATAGTTACACCAAAAGATTACTAGAAATGACACTGGAAGATTACTACTTACCAGGTCCTCCGTATGGCCCAGGAAAGAAGCCCATAGTTGGATTCAATCGCATTGCACTAGCTGTGTTGCTTCGTGGTTCAGCCTTCTTAGTTTCGACCTTCAGGAGAGAGAGAGATAGAGAGAGAGAGAGAGAGAAGGTAGGGAAAGAGGATGTGGAAAGAGAGAGAGAGGTGGTAAGAGAGGTAGAAAGATTGAGCACCAACAGAAAACCGGTTACAGTGTGTTTGACACGTCTACTACTACAATGGATAGAGAGGTCAAGATGGTGTACAATTTTATTAATATCAACACACATTAATTCAAAAATGATGGTGTGTGTGTGTGCTGTGTGATTGTAGGATTACTTCAAAACCTTTTTGCCGTCGATTTCGTGATACTGGACCTGCAACACCTTTGCCACGTATTCAACCGACTCGAATACAACAAATCCAAACCCTGTAGGTGTCGTCACCATGGGCGCGGTTGCCATAGATACGGTAGCCATGGGTACGGTCGTCATAGGTACAGTAGGTAGGTGGGGAGTAGGTAGATGACGTAGGTAGGTACATGTATGTAGGCATGGTTGGGAGACAAGTACATAATCTTAGGTAAAGTTAGTAAACATGTTAACAGCTAATGATACAATACTCTTCTACGGCCGACATATCTGAGCGTTTTTCAAACCTAAAGATGTGTGGTGGAGGCGATTTTTGCATTTCATGTTAATTTTGGACAGTGGGTCACTCATGAAAATACTTTAGTATGCCCACAGATAAAGCTACACAGTATATATAGCAATAGTGAGGTGGAGGAAAAACACGTTTTCTTTTAACATTACTGACCTCTTTTTCGCTGCGTTTTGCCGTCCATTTTGAACACAACTTCGACCACCTACAAGGAAATGTGGGACAGAGCAGTGGGTGCAATAGGACTAGTACCCTATTGTATATACTCACTCCGCCATACTGCGTGTTGAAGTAGTCCTTGACCTGCTCTTCAGTTGTTGTACTGGCCAGCCCTCCAATGAAGACCTTCTTGTCTGTGTCCTTTACACCCTGCTATATAGGAGAAGGAAGAGAGGGAGGGAGGGACAGGAAGAGAGGGAGGGAGAGCGAACGAGGGAAAGAAGAGAGAGGGGGAGAAGGTGGGAGAGGAGAGGGGGGGAATAATGATGGCATCAGTTACTAAAAATTCACAACTCACCGATTCTTCTGAGTCTTTTGGGGTCAATCTGTGAGATGGAGACAATGAAAGGTCTATTTACACCTCATTAGCACAACCAACGAATGCACTTGTAGATAGAGTGATAGTCACGTGACACTACTCAACCGTCTTTTCGTCCAGGGGGTGAGTGGTTGTGGATTCACGACGCGATCCACTTGCAGCCGGATCTTCGAATTGACAAAACCGAACCCCCTGTATCAGCAATTGAATAAGATCAAGTGGGAGAGAGAAAGAGAGAGAGAGAGAGTTGCACCTGTTTCTTTTCAAAGTTTCCGGCTGAAATGGGTCTTTCATCACCACACATTCAGTCACAGCCCAAACTGAGAGAAAGGCACTC